AAGGTATAGGAGTTGGTGTTCTTCTTAAATTTCTGGAGGTTATATGCCTCGGGGAACACCTCCCTTGGCAATGTGTTCCAGAGCCTCGCTGTTCGTTGAATGAACGAGTCTTTGGAAAGAAATGTTCCGCAGGTCTCCAAAGTGACCCCGAAGGGGTGCGAAGCCTCAATTCGGCGGGTTAATCTCGCGGGGACTGCAAAGGGAGGTACAATTGTTGATATTTCAGAAGAGCAATGTTATTTCAACAATATCACAAAACTTATATCTGAAAAATATTTTTGTTATGTGTTATGTATCATGTTGAGTGGATCAATATGGCTTGGGCGTTCTTGGTCAATCAGCCTGTATATGAAGGATTTTTAAAATTCGGAGCATCGTCCATGAAAATATCTATAAAGTTGAGCCAGATCGCCAACTTTTCTATGGTGTTCCAGAGAAGTGAGTAAGTTTGTGAGTGAGGCATCACCCACGAGACGAATTGCCCGTTTCTGGACAGAATCCAACAGTATTCCAGGACAGGTCGGATCTGTGCCTTATAGATCATAAGCAGCTGACTGGAAGTGAAATAGCTCCTGGTCCGAAACAGAAAACCAAGTTTTTGGGATGCACTTTTAGCAATTGATCTCACGTGATTTTCCCAAGAAAGGTTATTGCTGATAGTAATACCAAGCATCGAAATGGATGTCTTCAAAGGTATGGTTACTCCTGACATGCTTATGTTTGACACATTGAGATCGGCTTTTCTAGAGAAAAGGCATGCTTGTGTTTTGTTTGCATTAAAATCTACCAAGTTATTGGATCCCCATTCGAGAATTGATGCCAAGTCCATATTCATGTTGTCAACATTTCTCCCTCGTTCATTTCTGATTTGCCTGGCTGGTATTGGAGCTCTGGAAGAGAAGGCGGTATGGAGGGTACTATCATTCGCGAAGCTGTGTACTGGACATGAAGTTGCTTCCAACAAATCGTTGATATGGAGTAGAAATAGTGTTGGTGCTAGAATTGATCCTTGCGTAACACCAGCATTTATGGTAAGAGAGTCAGATGAAACTCCCTGTATACGACCGGCCAACAGGGACCTGTAGGTATATTGTTGGGAATCTTCTGCTGCAAGCATGTGCTCTGATGGTTACGTAAAAGGCGCTAACAGTAACTATTTTTGTTATTTGTTGCGCATCCACCCACACCTATACTAACTGCTGATCTTCTAATCAATATATTATTGAGCACATCCACATGGGCGTACGATTATCACCGTAGGCAGTATACGAACAGTAGGAACATTTGTTCAAATACCATAATTAGTCTAATCCAAACGATTATACAGGGTGCCCCAAAAGTCAACGTCATCCCTTGAAGGGCTCTTAGGCCAGCTCATAACTGATCAAAAAAATTTCTAGTTTTCGAGATATTGGGACTACGATCAGTTTTTTGGGTTCCATTGCTATAGAATTCGATGTTTTAGGTTAATGCTTGTTTCACAACACTGCATAATATATTGGCCAATCCAAAATAAAAATTTAATGCCATAACTTTTGGAGAAGAAAAAATAGTTTGCTCTATTCATGAGTTTTTTCATTAACATAATTCAAAACTCCTCACCTACTAAGACCTTGCAAGTTATATAAAGGATCGCTTACTTTGAGTGTAATTCTTGAAATGTTATTTATTTTGAAATTTTTTGATAAAACCCAAATAAAAATTGAGAAAGTCTATCTTATTGATCAATAGCATGGAGTATTAAGGGCGTGTAACAAAATTTGAAATCCTGAATTATGGAATTTCGTGGCTGAAAAAACTGATCGTTGGTGAAGATTTCCACGAAATTCATAAAAGTCCCATTACCTCGAAATCCAAAAATGTTTAACTGAGGTCATCTTCTGATATTCTGGTTTGTCATGAGATGGACCTCAACCCTCCAATAAGGTACGTATGACGTGGTCGTGGACTTTTGGAAGGGAAACCCTGTAAGAGGTTGTCAAAAACGAAATTTTGGTCTCGAACGATAAGTTTTCAATAATTAATGGATCAGTTTTATTTTTATTGGTCTTGTTTGACAAAAAAAAAATATATCTGTAGACCTCTTATTTCACATCTTCAATGTTGGTTTGAAAAACAAAGTATCGAACTTACTTTCAAATTCGTTGGAACTTTCTTGAATCGCACTGTATTTATTTCACGTGTGAGATTCGAAAGCTTGAACTTCTCTAACCGGAACTATATAGAGGTCAGACTTGCGAATCCGTCAAAAAAATAGCTGATATATTATGACTCAAAAAAATATCCTGCGAGTATCTCTCTCAAAGTAGACCAAAATCATTGAAATCAGTCTGTAAAGATCACAAATAGTAATATATAGGTATAAGGTATACATACCTATACCATACTTGAATTTCACAACTTTCTCAACAATACAAAAAAATTAATACTTCCTGTTCCAACTGAATCCAATATCATTAACCCTGTATTTTTTCTGTCTTATTCGTGTTCTGTTCGAATAGGAAAATTTTTTAGTCTGATATCACCGCAAACTCATTTCAATCAAGCAAAACAATAGCAAAATCGAGAAAGATGATTTTTCTACGATGTTCCAATGATGTCAAGAAATAATAGTGTGACATCACCAATTAGGTGCATTGCTCCTCTCTGGCTGCCATCTAAGATAAACCGTTTTTGTGAAACAACTTTCGCGATGAATCTGACATGGTTGTCCCATGAAAATGACATTGTTATATCTGGCATACTGAGTTCAGCTTTCCTAGAGAAATTACAGGCTTGCGTTTGAGTGGCTCTGAATTCAACTAGCTTGTTGTTTCCAGGCTGTAGTTTCAGGTCTTCATTGAAAGCGTTGACCTGCCTTACTCGTGAGTGAAAACTTCTTTTTGTTTCAAGGGTTAGAATACCTGTTCTACTTCCTGTTCAAAAAACACATTGACAAAGTCGAGAAAGACGATACTTTAATGATGGAAGGGTCTCGTAGAGGTTCCAGAGGCTTCTACTTTTTTTTCAATGCCTTTGCAAATAGTTTCAACTCTTAGTTTAAAATTTCAGGTATTTATAAAAGGAATAAAATGACATCAGTATTATGTACAAGAAGTTTATTTTATTAATTTAATAAGTTGATATAAAAATATATTTTCGGTAATACTTTGGTAGAAACAGTTCCTTAAACTAAAAGCCCTATGTACAGAAAAATACTGTAATGCAGTCTTCTTTAGGAGTTGTTCGCGCTCTTATTACAAACGCTATCAACGTCCATGTGCCAAGTGCGACATGTTCTCTGAAGAAGACTGTCCAGTCTATGACTAACCTATTACGAATTTCAATGAAATGTATTTGTTTTGAGATATATTCCTAGATTTTTACCAGCCGAACAGGTTTGGGTAAAGTATTTTGTACATTGTATGATGGCAAGGGAATCGGTATCTAATAATAAAATGAATATTTAGTCATTTGTATGAAAATTTCGAATATAAACGACACTCTACCTGTGTGCTTTAAATAGGAAATTTGCTGGCAACTGAATTACAAGTAATACTTATGCTGACGTAAACATGAATACGAGCAAACATGATATCACTAATGATGTCACTATGATTGTCAATGGAACATTTTGGTCCACAATAAATATTTATCAATACATATAATAATCATTTATAATAAATAATGAAAAATTCACAACTTACTGATTTTCCGAAGTAACAGCAACTTATTGAAAATTGCTTCGGAAAATCGATACCTATTAATTGTAATACTAATAACAGTATGATGTAACTGAAGACGGTCTCATTGAAAAATGAATGGAAAGCCATGATATTAGTAAAAATACCAATTCTCAAACTATTACACATAATATTTTTAAATTTCAGGCTGATGCTGTGTCAATAAAGTTACTGGAACATTGAATGACATAGCATTTGGTATTCGTTAAGCTCAATTCATTCAATGAGTCAAGAAGATGATTCGAATTTTCAGTCTTATTTGATCTAAAAACAACGTAATTTCAATTTTTAATTCGATGTATATATGTATAAGTACCTAGATTAGTTGTTACAACAGAAAAAAGGATGATTTTTAGATTTATTTCCGTTTCTGTTCAGTGGCTGATATTTCAACATTCACTTTCTACTTGGTTCATATCACTAATGATCAATTCAAAAATATGTAATCTTACAATTCAGGAATTTGAAAAACTTCATCTTATAAAAATAAATCAGTGATTGGTTACGTTGCATAGGTACTGCATGTTTACTCAGTACGTTTTACTCTTGACACATTTTGCAAATCAAGAAATAATTGAAATAGGGCGAATATCTATATTAAATATCACATCACAATAATATATTATAACTAGGTAATCTTGGCATAGCAGCGAATTAATTTCGTTGCTATTTGTTATCATATCTGTATTCATACCTAAGCGACACAACACACAGATTATTTGTTGAGCAATTCTCGTTTGCTTTTAAATAAAAAAGGAGGGTTAATAGGTGATACCTGAGGTTGTACAACAAATGATATGACTGGATTGGGTTTTCAGTTATTCTGGGTTGGTTGGAAATATATTTAGCCCTAAAGTGGGCTTTCAGGGTAAATGTTTTCGAATTCTTTTTAGAATCTCGTCGTGACACTATGTGTAGATGTCATTGGGCTAAATATATTCTAAATAACCTGACAAATACTTCCTTTTTATTTGGCGAACCGACTACCTGACACAGTAAACTAATTGGATGAAAAACTAAACATCGAAATGTGGGCACTGGTTTGAAAAATAGTAAATTCTCAAACTTAGCACTGCCATTGAGAAGCTGAGTAACAAAGATGAGAAGATAACTGCTTCAGAATTATAAAGAAAATTTCCTCAATTTGGTTGATTATATACTGGATAATATAGTTAGTTTTAGAAAATAATCTGAAGGAAACAGGTTCTTGCATTGGTGGAAAGTTCGATGAAATGTTGTTTTGGAAACCACGGACACCTCGATACATGAATAATTTAACTACATGGGTGTTTCAGAATCAAGAGCAATATGACCTTGAGATGAGTACGCAGGGGGTCCGTTATTCAAAAAGGCCATAGACCTCATACTGTGTCTATTTGGATGATTTCTCTTTTGGGGCACTTGGGGAGTAGCATGACTGTGACTGTGGTAGTTTTTAGTCGGTGAATAGTTGTTTAGAGTCCTAGTACCGTGGAAATTCGAATAACTAGATCGCACCGAGGCAGGTCGATTGTTATACAATTCGTCTAGCTCCTCAGTTTCATTAAGGGATTGTTGTGAGGACTGCTGGTACGTGGGATTGGTATGTCCGTTAGGAACGTGCCAATTCTGGTGTGTAACAAGGTTGTTATTAGAAGTGGTAAAATAATTCGGGGAAGACGAGTCGATAGGGGAAGGACTAGCAGGGCTGTCGTAAGGCTGGGCTTTTCGTTGTTGTTCCATCAGCTGAGTCACTGGGTTCCTCCTGGAACTTCTAGTGGAAGATCTTCCTTGGGAATGTCTCCGACTGCTGGTGCTTTGCCGTCCAGATGAACCTCTGGTCATGACGCTTCGCCTTTTCACCCTTCTCGGCGTCATTGGTTTCGGTGACATGGGAGGGGGAGCTTGCTCGAATTCTGTGTCACTGTCATTGTGCCGTTCCAGGTGGGAACTGAACTCAATTGAGTATAGCGAGGTTCTCTGTTTTGAGTTCTTACGGATTGATTTACGTGATGCTGTAGAAATAAACTGGTGATCGATATCTTCCATTTTCAACACTTCCCATGAAATATACTTTTTCTTTATAAGAAGCTGACAGCAAAAAGGAAACATATATGGAATTGATCCGGTCAACAGTTTAGAAATAGTTTGGAAATATCAATAACTTAGTCGTTACGATTTTCAATCAATTTTGTTTCGATATTTTGGACTCAAACTCTCGTATTAGCTTCCAGATAGGCACATTTGAAATCATGTAAAAAATTGGCATTAGATGATGGAAGAATAAGATTCCAATGTATTTTTTCGAACTAAATGGTTTGAAATTTTTGATTTGGATCGGATACCTCTTCATTTTTCAAACTTATTTTTTTATTGACAACATTTTGAAGCAAACATGAATCAAAACTTAATGAGGCTTAAATCGTTTATTAGTCAATATAAAACATGCAATAAATAATATATTTTTCATGCAAGAAGCATTCTGTACAATGCGGAATAAAATAAGATATCCAGTCAGAAACAATACTATTCACTATCAATATAATTGTTTGAACAAATACTTCATTCATTTGTTAACATTAACCTAGAAGATATGACTAGAGGTTTATTTTAGAATATTCACAAATCAGAAAAAGCATCCGAGCACAAGGATATTGGCCTTGTGGCCCCTTTCCTACCTGTTATGTAAGTAGTACTGAAAGAGTTACTCCTACGCTTGGGATTTCGAATTTTATCGACAGGAATATTTCGTTTCTTAGGATATTTTCCCAGCGAATCAAAGAGATATACGTTAGATTTGTGCAAGAAATTGTTAGAGCTTTGCAAATTATCACTGGTCACATAGGTGGGATGCAATGGGATACTACCAGGTGCACAAGGCTTCTCGTAATCAACTGAAAAGAAAGATAAAAGCAATAGGCTAGCTACCACCCAAGTTTAAAGAAGCCTCAACTTCAGGTAAGTTTTCATCATAACATTTAGTAACATTTTCACTACTCATTGTCATTGAACTTATAACCAAAACGTCACCACTGTTCTCATAGCCAGAATAGTTTTAATTAGCAGATACTTCTTGAAGTTGAATTGTTTATTGGACACGAATCGAAAATTCCTTCATTTTACTAGATGCTATAGTTGGAAATATACGTGAAAATTTTCAGAATTTTAAAATTTTAATCTCAATGGGTTCCACGGTTAGACGACACGGTATCTACATTGACATTTTGAGATCTATCACGATTTTCCTTATTCTTTCGAAATCGGTCTGATTGCGTTCTGAAAATAGGTCCGTTCTGTACAAAATTTGATATGCTCGCATATACACAACCAGTGACGTGCAATGCTGATCATGTTAGGGTAGGCAAAAATTAAAAAATGTGAAATGCAGAAAACAAAAATGGAGATGATACGACATTGAGCCGTTTCGTTTCCTAAGTAAATCCTGACATGTTGCCTATTCACAATACTTGATTGAGAATGTTACCAATGATTGTCGCATTATCACATGTCGTCAATAAATCTCCTGTAAATTTCAGAATATCGCCACAATCATCGTCAGTCGAAAATTCAATTTAATGTCGCATTTCACCAAAAAAGTAGTCGTAAATGCGATAAATCGCCACACCTGGCAATACTGTCCCTGCAACCGTCTTCCGTATACCCAACTATTGGCTTGCAAGTCGAAACCACTGCTTTTTCGTTTCATATGAATTTTTTATGATCAACGCAATTGCTTCGCTTTATTTTGAATGGGATGCTTATTTGCTTACACAGAGCAGAGCCAATAGCGGCGACGCAGCGGGTGGTTTATATTAGTTTTTACGGATTTTATTGTATTATTATGAGTTGTGAGAGTACTCAGACATACAGTTGATCTATTTTTATAAAAAATATATATATATATCGACAAAAGAAAATTGTGTAAAAAACTGTGTATCGATAATTTGAATTTTTCTGGGGTAGGCAATGCTTTTATGCTTCTATTGTATGCACGCCACTGTTTTATCACTAACCAAACCGATTTTTCAACGCCTCGACACGTGTTTCTTCAACTATGTTTGCACCGTCAAGAGAATATTAAAACTCAAATTCAAGACCCGTGTTCCCTTAACTATGTTAGCATCTTCAGGACGAAATTGAAGCTGAGTTTGAGTTTCAAAATCGGTTTGGTTAGTGGAAAAACAGTGCTGAGTAACATTATACAGGGTGGTCCAGGATGAACTGCATTAATTTTGATAGGAGACATAACAACGGGGAAGGAGTTGACCTTCATGAAAAAACGTTGGGTGGAAAATGCCTCCCATCAAAGATACAGGGTGTCAGAGTTTTGACATCTCGACTGAGTTCTCGACGGGCCCCGTTAGGTTTGGAATCATCAAAATCAACATTGAAATGGGTATTATTATTGGAAGCCATACAATTCACGGCTTGTACAGAACCTCATAAGTTTCAGCTTATTTGCAAGACACCAATAAGCCATGAATCTAAAATTTGCAGAGGTATTTTAATTTTTTAAATTGAACAAGAAATTCAAAAATTGATTTTTTTACAAATATTCAGTGTTATCGAAGATTAGGAGAGAGAAGGAGATGCCGACCCCCATTACATACGCCAATGGAGAATTTCCTCAAATGATTCCATTCATTACTAAGAGATGTACATTATTCGGTGCGGATTTGATCGCAATCGGTTGAGTGATTAGGGAGTTATGATGAGATATTCAATTTTTGCCCAAAACTTTCACACCTTGTATCTTTGTTAGGAAGCATTTTCAACCAAAGTTTTTGCATGAAAGTCTTCTACAGGAGAGTTTTCGATTGCCGACCGTCGCGACCTCTTGGACCACACTTCGTTTTTTGTTGACGACCAAGGCCGATCGATCCAAGACCACTTCGCCCAGGCTCAGTACCGGATTTATACTCCCTTACGCCGGGGGCTAACTTTTACGATGCCGCCGCGCCGCCGCCAAATATTTAATTTACAATTATCAGTTTCAAAATTCAAATACTACTTCTTTAACAGCATATAATAACATGAAATCATTTTTTACAACGAATCAAATTATATTTACTCCACACGTTAAACATAACAACAAACAACAATACTTTTCTTGATTTTTTTGATGCAAAGTCGTCAGTGGCATCATCAAAATTCAGATTTAATAACATGTCACTGTTAATATTTGAAAATGATAAGATATTCAATATATCCTCTACCATGGAATTCCTAAGTAAGTTTTTCACTCTTTTTAAAGTTGAGGATGACCTTTCACTACTGGCATTACTAATCATCAGGGATAGTAAAAAAATTCTAAGTAATTGCCCATAATCAATGAATTAGGAATTTGTTGTGATTATCCCTAAAACAACACCTAGTCGTGTTCATATTCCGATCATTTATTTTTGAGATTCTAACTCTTCTTTTTCGCGTATTGAATGTAAAAAAATATTAAACTTACCATTCCCGTCTTGAGATCGTGAGGTTCTCGGAGACGGTTATGATGTCAGTTCTGATTCTGTCTCATTTGAATTTAGAAAAAAAGAATGTATTTTAGAGCATTTCTTGACAATTTCGTCTAACTGCTTTTGCTTAGTGATCTACTGTCGTTTCCAGAATACACCACCCTCTTTTTTACGCATTTTTTTAAATTTCAGTTTCAATATTTATTATTAGTACCATTACCAACGACAACCTATTAAATACTGAACTCTGATTTTGTTTTTTGTTATTGAGTTAGACGAATCACGAAATACCCCTACTCTACTGGGTTGAAGGCGGTTTTTCTTCACATCATCATATAAAAGTATGTACCGCCGCCGCTTTTGTATTGTAGCGTCCAAGAAACAACTGACGCTAGATTAGTGCATCTTATGATTTTCACAAAAACAGTATCTCAACCAGTCAATGACTGTATTGCTGCTTGCTTTTCCTCTTTTCTCTTTTTCTCTACCGCCTCTTGAAATTCACCGCCGGGGGCTGATAGTCCCATAGCCCCCCCTGAATCCGGCACTGCCCAGGCTTTTTGGTGGTCGATGCGATTCGAAGATATAAAGTATAACCTCAAAACAATCAGATAACTCAAGAAATGGGAAAGAGCATTTACAGTCTTCAAAATTGAGTGACTCAAACTGCTTATATATATTTCAACAAAAATAGCATAACATCACTGATGATTCACTTAAGTGTATTATTTCTGATATATACAGTTCAAAATTGTTATTTCATTCAACAAAATCTGTCTCGAGGAATTCAATGACTCATATAGATTATTCCTAATATATCTGGTTCATGAGATGCCAGGTGGTGTGTTATTTTCGATATATTATCAATTGATCAATTGAGTTAACAGATTTAAAGGTTTTTGTATACAAGCGACCGGTCGAAACCATTCGTATTTGTCATTTTAGTCACGTGACACTAACGACCAGTCGGTCAAGTCGGTCGACAACCAAAAACTCTAGCTAATTTTTCGTTGTTCTATCGCCTATCAGAATTGATGACGTTCAACCTCGATCACCCTCTGTATAAATCACTAAAACACATAGAATTTCTTATATCCAGAGAAGTCATTCGCCTGGAGGGTAATGCCGCACTCACCAACTCTTTGACCCCATTAGAACACCGTAGAAAAATCGGCGACCTTTCACTTTTCTATAGATACTTCCACGAGTCGTCTTTAACCTTGGAAAAGTCGAACAACACTCAACCAAAACTCGTTCGTCTATAGAACGGCGAAGTTTTGGAACTCTTTGCTAATGGAAGTATTCCCAAGAACTTATAACCTCCAAAATATCAAAAAAATCCAACACCTACCTCCTTTCCTATACTTCCTAGGGACGCACGATGTTCTACGAACATTATAGGAATTTCCTTTCGTGCGCTCCAAGAGATAAAAACTTTTTCTGAATAAAATGTAAAAATATACAGATTGTCCAATTCGAAGTTGGGATTGCTTTCTGGTGCACTGAAGCACTATATTTTAATAATATCGATAACTTCCTGAACTAATTCACATACAGATCATTATGTGGCAAGAATTATAGCTAGTAGTGAAACGCTATGGAATTTGTTCAAGAATGAGGCAGAAGATGGTCAAAACATTTTCCATGACAGTTTAGATTGAAAACAATGTGGTGAGGTTGTTTTGGCTAGCAGTTTTGACTAAATGGGAATTACTTGGGCAGCAATAATTATACACAAAATCCAAGTAGGTGCATGCCCTTCATACCATGACTTACCAAGTTGTGTGAGGATCAAATCCACCAATGAAATCAACTGCAAGCATATTAACAATGTAGCTCTATGATTGATTATAAAACAGATTATTGTTATTGACACAACATATATAACAAGTGAACAAGTAATTCCACTTCTTATAATCAAACTAGAACTAGCAATAGGTTAGTGGTGGTTGTCTACAAAATTAAAACTAAGAGTATTCAACTTACAAGTATCATCTTCATCTATGAAAGATCTACTGAGACACATTCCTATGAAGCAATTGAACAGCTGGAACAAAAATACGAGATTTGAGGTGAGAACATTATTGGAAATTCCTAAAGAAAATCCAATAGAATGATGAGCCAAGATGACCCAAGTCTTCCTGCCAGATTATTGGTAGAGTATCTACAATATTTTATGCAACCCACACTTTCAGGCCACAGGATAGGCATCTTTTTTATTCTTAAATAGCATAAAAATTCAATGGGTAAGTAACCCATTTTGGCCTTTTCCTAAATCTCATGTACCAACCATTCCCTTCTGAGACTATTCAAATCTCAGTACACCAGTGTAACCATTGATTTTTACAGGGTACTGGATGTTTTTTTAAGGTAGAAATATTACCATATTCTGAATAAACCATACTTCTTGTTAATTTAAGGAAATAAAATGTGTTATTGGTAGTAGTAAATGAATATCCAAGATGGGTGGCAAAAGAAAGTGAAATTTCAAACTTTTTCCTCAAGTATCTTGACAAATAGTGGTTTGTTCAAATTTTCTTTGTGAAATTTGTGTTCTTCAGAAGAAAGTACATGAGTATCAAAACACATTTTCAAAAAAAACATCACATGATAAGTGCACTTTCACCATTTTTGTAAATGAATCTTTCAGGAGAGAATAGTGATAGGTAGATAGTTATTATTGAACATGAGAATTAGGAGATGATCTACTTACAGCAAAGAAACACTGCATTCCAGCTTGCACAATTTCAACATCAATGTAGTTTATCAAGCATCCTTCATATTCAACAGGTACTGCATCTACATTTTTTATTTTACATCCAGGTCCTTCTTTTTTCCACCAGCTATCACTGTTTAGGTCCAACTTGAGAACTTTGTTCTTCTGCAAATGAAGCAGACATAATTACACAATTATTGAATATTGGTTCCCATCGAACAATTGACACTACCACAATTTTTATTGCATGTATGTATGTATCAACTATCAACATAACATAGGTAGTTATTGTTAGTGTTCAATAGTTTTCATAGAAGCTCACCTCATGGTCTAGACCAGCCACATTTAAATATAAACAAATGAGAAATACATTCCAGCCTATCCAAAATATATGCCATATCAGGTACTGAAAAAAAATACACTTTTAGTGAATTATCTGAAAACTATTTAAGGTGGGAAGTATTCACATACCGCTATCATATATTTCATTCGATACTGGTAAGCTCCAAAAAATCCAAAAATGATGAATATAATTTCAAAGAAGTTGACTAATATGGGAATCCATAGAAATCCCAGGAAATCGAACACCTGCCTTTCTACTGTTGACACCTACATAACAAGTAAAATTTCGAGTAAAACTTGTAATTCTGCAGGGGCCAAATTATGGGGAATTGTGCATGTATTGTTACTTTGTTTCAACTACTTACCATTTGCAATAAACATACTGATAGAAAAAAAAACCTCCTGGTACATATACCCATTTCATGAGGTGTACAGATTATTGTTTGTAATAACCTTTTTCATCCAACATCTAGTATTTTGGTTTGACTAAGTTTGAATGAACCATTTCACTATCATCTTTATGTAAATTGAAGTTTTTTCTCACGCTAATCTCTGGATCATGATGATTAATGTTGATAAAATACAAAGAGCACCTGTCACCTGTCACGCTTCATGGTCGCAGGTTCAGTCTTTCGTTACTCGATAGTCAGGTTATTTTCTTCCTGTTGCTTTTTAATTGCAAGTACCTTGCCTTCAAGTGTCACGCCCAACTACAGTGCTGTACGTCCAACCTGTATGCAACTCCCTCTTGCAGAGGCATTAAAATTTATTAGCTGAATAAAGGCAGATAAAGGCTTGCACTTTATTTCTGTTGGCCGACGACAGAGAAAAATGTATTAGTTTAGGCTATCGTATCATAGATGGCGAAAGTTGCTACAAAATGCAAGGCTGGTAGAACTGATGACTATTTGAATTCAACCTACCTTGAGAAAATGAATTTGTTTCGACTAGATCATCAAATTTCAACTGATCAAAAATCGACTATTTATATCATTTAGATTTTCATGAACAAAAAGGAAAATAGTGGATTTTCAATTTTCAAGTAAAGTATGAAGCTGTACAGTTATTTTGATTTCAATGTGTATTACCTAATCATGTCGATATTGCGGATCAATGTATTGCATTAATTCATCAAATGAAACCTTGATATTGACGAAAAACATAACATAACAGACAGGAACTATTACAGGGTGTTTTAAGTTTTTGAATATAATAAATGATAAAACACATGTGATCGATCCATTGATCCGAAATATCGACATAACTAATACACATTATTGGGATCGAAATAATTGTGCAGCTTCATGTTTTTTCGTTAATATCTCGAAAAATAATGACTTCATCACCATGGAGAGAGAGAGTACAATATCTACGTGAACATTTTTGGAGAATCGAAAAATTGTGATATAATCGCAATTCTGCCAGTGGCGTAGAATTTGGGAGAGATCAACCAGTCACTTGCCCCTATCGTACATGCCTCTGGTAGTAGCCAGAAACGTTCATTCAACATTATTTAGTAGGGTGTATAGTACCTATACACTTTCCACCAAATATGACAATATCGAGTAGACCTGGGCACAAATGATTGTCGAATTTTCAAGTAAAATACCCTGTAACTTCGACAGGAGACACATTTTATCTAGGTGATTTGGATCGAATAATCATATTTTGAATTCACGATTCTATATACTGTCTGTAGGTTAATCGAGGAGGTGGTATATTCATTATTCCAAATTTTTTGGGATTTTCTCTCCTCGTTTCTATGAAATAAAAATATGAATATTATTTCAATATACGTGTAGTAAGGACAAATCAGATGATTTGCCCCAAAATGTCACTGCGTTCAAAGAATTTTCCTATCAAGCTAGTGAATTTTTCTGTTAGGCTCTCTGATAGGAAAATTCTTTAAACGCAGTGACATTTTGGGGCAAATCATCTGATTTGTCCTTACTACACGTATATTGAAATAATATTCATATTTTTATTTTATAGAAACGAGGAGAGAAAATCCCAAAAAATTTGGAATAATGAACGATTCTATATAGTTGAAATATTTCCAAGTAGTATTGAATCACCCTGTATGGCCTTTTCATAATTGTACAAATTCATTTCATATTGATCGAAACGAATTATTCTCAGATAAATTATGACCATGAGAAAATGGATATACTTATAGAAAGAAATACATTGAGAAACCGCATTCTCTATGTGATGAAAATATAAATTCTTTCTCGGTTTTTCAACAGAAAAAAAAAACTACTTTCCTGGCTATATTCCACGGAGAACATTGAATTATATCTGTTGAACATTGAACATTGAACAATTGTTGATATTTCAGAAGAGCATTGTTTATGAAAATATCTATGAAATAGAGCCAGATCGCCAACTTTCCTACGGTGTTCCAGAGAAGTGAGTGAGTTTGTGAGCGAGGCATCACCCACGAGACGAATGGGCCTCTTTTGAACAGAATCCAACAATTTCAGGGTATGTTTGGGTGCTACACTCCAAATATGGGAACAGTACTCCTGGACAGGTCGGATCTGTGCCTTATATGTTATTTCAACAATATCACAAAACTCATATCTGAAAAATATTTTTGTTATGTGTTATGTATCATGTTGAGTGGATCACTAAAATGGCTTGGGCGTTCTTGGTCAGTCAGCCTGTATATGAAGGATTTTTAAAATTCGGCATGGTTTTATTATTTGATCTATGATTTAATCATCATAAATGATCCCACTCCCTGCTCAGGGCTTTTCTCGAACCGTCAGACTATGTTTTATCAAGATTTAGAAAGGACACATAGAGTAACAAAAATATGAAATAAATGAGACTAACATCTATAGCATTGATTTTTCAAATGAGTGTTCATTTATCTTATATTCGATGACACGTAGTCTGATAGTTGAAAAATACACAACACATACAACTTTTGCCATTTGAGTTATGCTATCCCCCATATCTTGCATTGCAACGAAAAATTGCGACAGCTGTCAAAATTGACACTAGTGCGCACGCATGGAAAATTGCGAATTGTAGCGACTTTTTTGAGTGCATACTGCATACTTAGGTAAGCAATATAGTTTTAGAAGAAAAGTTCGTATAAAAATGACAACAAAATAAGCTACCTCCAATACATAAAATTGTGAATGAAGTACCAGTATTTTGAAAAAAAAAAAAAACGTTTTCTCTGGGGGAGGGGAGGTACCCTGCTGTTATATGCTCTTCTTGCGGCACCAATGTCCTGTACGCTGGATTATACTTTTGAGTATTCAACTTAATATTTCATCAAAGGAACGAGGGAATGCTGGAAGTCATCTCCACAAATTTTCTTTTACCAAAGATTAATATTTCATGTTATTCCTCATGTGGCAATTCGGTGTGTAACGGTGGAAGTAGGTTTATTTAATAGGTACTCCATCCATATTGTCCCAATATCGAAAATATTGGGCGAATATAGGGCTAATGCCCTACCCACCTTACCTATTGTGAAGCAGATCTAATTATTTAATGGTCAATATGGTCGGGCATTCGGATAAAAATTGGGCATGCACCAGTGACCAGGTACTGATACTGTAGCACTACATAAGCTAATTTTTATTATGAAATTTTGATTTTTATCTAGGTACAAATAGTTTTGATGAATGTTTAAAATGGGATTTGATTAGTAAATAATGTACCGTACTGCTGTTAGTGTCTACTTACTGAACATATTCATAGGTACTTGTTCAGCATATTTTTATCTGACCTGTTTAATCGTAGAGTCTAACCTTGCTTTAACGAATTGGAATAGAAATCTTTTTACCTATTAACGAATTTTTATAACAGAGTTCACGGAGATAAAGGATTATTGTTTTGTGGATCCAACCAGAGCATTCAAGCATTGTTTTCTTTGAGTACCAAGATCGCAGTAGTATCGGGCGCACTGTAATCTGGCATTCGGTATTTTATCAACAACAATAATACTTGTATACTCACATTATGTTCTCTTAGAAAGATCAATATTCCAATTCTCAATATAAATATAGTTTGTGCATGTGATAGTGAATTTCCTAACAAAACAGCAAGATGCCGAACAGGATTGAACGTTCAACGCTGCTGTAAGTACGTAAAACATTGTTTATTTTCCAGAAAAAAGCTGTGTTTTATCTGTTTTTCAGAGGTTTAGGCGACAATAATAATTATGGTGCTCTTGAAAAAAATAGCGTTTCTTCCCCTTCGACGATATTTTCACCCAGAAGGGTAATCTATTGCGTCCATGGAAAACCCAGTGCTGGGTGTTGCAAGGTACTTGAAGGAGAAATAATTGTAAATATAGATGGCGGTGATGATGATTTGATGAGTACACATACCAAAGAAAATATCAATGCCAGTGAACTCGGTGAGTATTATTTTCACAACATAAGGAGTATAGGTGCCTAGGTTTTGTATTATCGCGAATATAAGAAAATAATATCTATGTATTTTATTGGCTCTACCAAAATCACATGTGACACCACATATAGGTAATTATTATTATTTCTTTGTGTTTTTTTCTCGAAAACGATACATCATCATCACCACAATCATCACCTTATATTTTTCATAGAATGATTATATTTGAATCCAACATTGATGAAAAACTTCAGTGAGATGAGAGCTAGTATAGGCATTTAGAGACATATTATAGGTAGTAATACATATGTTGATATTACTATTTTCCATTTTTTTATAAGGTTATTCATCTAATATTATTAATAATGATTTGTAAAATTACTTGCCCAATTATACTTGAAATTGAATAGGTAGCCAACAAAGTCAACATCATAATAATATACCTATATACCTATTATTCATTATTACTATTTGAAGTTCAATACTTAAAATGACTATTGCTAGTTAGCCATTATTTTCAATTTAAAAACAACTAAAAAGTTCACTATATATAAGAAACCCAATACACATTCACATTCTACATAATGAGAGTTGATACAGAAAAATAGGTAGGTACTCATCTTTACATTTGGTTAGGTTAGACTGTTCATCAGGTAGATAGTTTCTGAACCTACTTTTGACACGTTGAATGGACGTCATATATATGAACATATGAATGACAGCTCCACTTCTATTGAGGTCATACATAAATGTTTCACAATGTATGCTTGTCATGACGCCAGTGGCGTAATTAGATTTTTTTAGGCCCCAACCGAAAACTTATAAAAGGAGACCTTTTTTTCAGTCACACATCACAAATAGTTAATGAAAATATAACTACGAGCTGAAAGAGCTTCATATGTTATTCGTAGGGTGTTCCGAAATTACATGAAAAGATTTCAACTGCAAATTTCAGAAACAAAAATAATGTAAATTTCATGTAAACATGGGTCCGGAAATGGGCCCCTAGGGGGTTACAGCCATCTGAAGGCAAGCACGAGTTGAATGTTTTTGTAAATATTTTTCGCCCTTCGTGATAAAATACCCAAGAGTTTGTTCATTTTATACTAACATTCTATGCCCAATTTGAAAATGTTGAAAATATTTAGAAATTTTGATCAGGAGTACTTATTCTTTCCTCAACTTTTCAGTTTATGCAATTTGTGGCAGTTTAACCAGGAAATATGGAAACATCAACTACTTAAAAATGGCACTCTTATTTGGTTTCTATCATTCACCGTTTTCGAGATATGTCGAATTTGAAATTCTGCTGCATATAATGACAATACTACTTTTTGTTTAGAAAAAGTCCGAACTTTCCCAACAATTTTGCTGTGTTGGAAAATACCCTTTCTTTCAAAATCTCCCATGTTTTGATTTAAAATATCGGAGGTTCAATATGAAAAATACATTGAAAAATAATTATAGTGAGTTTAAAGAAAAAGTACTATTTTTATTACGCGCAGCAGAATTTTAAAATCGGTTTATCTCTAAAACGGTGCATGCTATAGAATCTGAACCAGAGTACCATTTTCAAATAAAATTGTTGAGAGTATATCATATATTTCCTGATCAAACTGACGAAAATTGCATAAACAAAAAAGTTTGGGGAAAAACTGCTTCTAACTTCTCCTATATCCCACGTCCCTGATCAAAATATCGAAATCTTCTCAACGTTTTCGAATTGGACATGGAAAGTAAGATACATTTACAAAATCTGTTTATTTCAAGGATTCCGAAAATATGAACAAAAAACCCTCATCTCGGGCTCGCCTTTAGATGCCAACGAGGATGCTAATTTACTATTTTTGTTCCTAGACTCTATAGTTACAATGTTTTCATGTAAACTCGTGATCTCCTGTATGTTTCATTTCACAAATAATTTGACAAAATATTCCTTTCCATCAAAGAAAAACAAATCCTTAAAATAACTCTGATCCTGACTTGTCAATATTATAATAAACAAATTATTTAGATACTTATATCATATATCATATTATTGTTAAAATCTAATTGAATAAACTTACTTACTTACTTACTATATCATCACTGTTCCATTTAAGAAATGTCCCCTTGGTTGGGAATACTTTTTTTAGAAAGAAAAAATCATTGTTGAAATAATAAACAGAAAACAACTACCACTATACCACAGATTAACAAAGGTTTGTTAATCTGTGACTATACTATACTCTTGGCGAATACTACGGAAAAGTGAATGATATCTCCAAGATCGGAAATATCTGAAATGAAAAAATAAAATAAAATTGCAAATAACTATATTGCTTAAATATCTAACAGAAAAAAACTACGTTCCTTAAATATTTCAACAATGATGATTCTCCTATATTTGAAATCAAACTCAACTTATTTTTCATTCAAGAAAAACAAAATTTTAAATGACAAACGCTAAAATTATGTCTACTCGCTTTACATATATTGCAAATTCATTAGGTAATTAAATCTTTAGATAAAAGATAAGTTTCTACATTGGTCGCCGCGACGAATACGACATAATAGTATATGTGCAAAGGTATTTGTACGACCTACTGACAGGATATGCGTACTTATCCGTTACCATCGAATCTCGGTGGTAACGACTTATCCTACCAGAAGTTAAAAATGTCCTGGCAGGACGTATTGAAGATCATTCGCAACAAGTAAAGAACGTCGTTTGAAATTTTTGCCGGAAATATTCGCGAATGACGTTTATCAAAATTTTCGTCAATCGACGGATATTTCTAGGAGTATCACGAGTTGTATTCATATGACTATTTCATGATTGAATGAGACAATTAATTATAATACAGAAATCGGTGCCGTCAAAATTAAATAGTAATTATAACTGACGTTATAAACGTCAAAAGTTTTATCGCCAAAAAACGAGGTTGGTTGGTCACGTGTGGGTCTACTCGGCTTATGTATTGGTAGAGCAAGTCCGATAATTTTTTTTAACAAAAAATATCGCTGTCATACAGGAGAAACCGTGAAAATGCGTTCGATTCTGATTGGTTCTCGAGAACAAGAGTATGGAATATAGTATTTATATAACCAATGGTTGCTACAGTGTTCCTATGAATCATTATTTTCTCAAGACACCCGCTCAATCCTAATTAATTCTCAAAATATAACGAATCCGATCTGCAGATATTGGGATGCGTTCCAAAATTTTGTGTAACCAATATAGTGTCTACGGATATCATGTGATCAGGAGAAATAACATTGCTGAACAGAGTTGAGATTTTCATTTTCAACTAGATAAAAACTAAAATCGTCGCAATTTGTTGTGATGGTGTAAATTTCATGATATTTTCGACAATACCGTAACACCTGGATAGCTATGCTACTGGTCACCGAATTGATAATAAATCAACTTATTGTCATATTTCAAAAGTGGTGGCATGCACCGAAAAGTGGTCTGCTCTACAGTGATCATTGTCTCGACTGAAATGCTCTGAAAGCTCATAATCTGCACAATATTCCACAATCCAACGTCCATAAATGGATTAATTCTATCCTGCTGAAAATACGAAGTACATATAGTACATACTATCATTAACATTCAGATTTGGACATACATCATTGCAATCCAAATATTTTTCTTTAATACTCGTATGATGATGATAAAATTATGTTCACACAAAAAGAAACTGAGTAAATTCATCTTTTCTGGTTATTTTTTTTAAGGTATAAGTACTCAAAACAAACATAGAAATCATGCATACACATTTTCAGAAATTGTATCTCAAAACTCATCCTGGAAACCAAGTAAATTCTTCGTTTTCGGAAATGTACATATACCTCCTCATTAGAACTGAATTTTGTTCTTTTTAGAGATAACTATCGAGTCATCAACATTGTTTGAGTGCCACGTGACCGTTTTTGATGCGGCGTCTCTTTTCCACCAATGTTGAAGACAATGTATTATTGGTTGCTCTCAATCATTATTGAAGACCCTGTATTGTAGATATTATTATTATGATGTGTTGTTGTATATTTCCTTCAATGTGCTGTGATCAAGATTTTTTCTGTTGAAATTATGTTTATTATATTCATTACTATTAAGATTTAATTATTTTAGACTAGTTTCATAACTGCGAAACAGTGATATGTAATGCAATATTATGTTCTGTGATCAAGGCCTTTTTATAAAAAGTGTGTTTACTTTAATTTTTTCTATATGAATGTTGAAACTTTGTTTTATTTAATACTATCAATGTTTTCTTATATCAGACTCGTATTGCTCGTTTTGAATATATGCACGGAAAAAGAGATTTCTAGAAGAGATGATTTTACTTGGTATTGGGAATTTTCAGCTGTACGGGGCCTGTTTCCAGGGTGAGTTTCGAGATTCAAATCCTGAAAATATCTAGGTATTTTTTATCTGTTCGTTTTGAATATACTCTGTGAAAAGAAAATGTCCAGGAACGATGAATTTGTAGAATTTCAGCTACTCATATGGGGTTAGTTTCCAGGATGACTTTTGAGATACTTATTTTGAAAAAGGGTAAACATGTTTTCTCCGTTTGTTGTGAATATACTTTGTGAAGAATAAATTTCCAGGAACGATGAATTTTTCTGGTATTGGAGATTTTTCAGGTATACTGGGGATATACTTTGGGGAAGACATTTTCAAGAACGTTGAAATTATGGTTCAAGAAATCTCCGACTGAAAGGGGGTAGTTTCCAACGTGAGTTTTGAGATACAAATTCTGAAAGAGGGTATAGGTATATTATCTCTGTTCGTTTTGAATATTCTGTGGAAAATCAATTCACAGGAAGGATGAACTTACTAAACTTGGTTTTGGAGATTAATGAGGGTAGTTGCATCGTTTTCGTGTGTAAACCTTAATTCATCATCATCCTAATGTTATAAAACGGAGGAATCGGTGGGAATAACATATCACACCTTTTTCTACCCCACGGTCCCCACCCCCCGTGTTACAATACGAGAATTAAATATCTGTTGAAAAATAGTGTATGCAATGATCATGTAATAACTATCAATAAATTATCGTTGCATAAATTACCATAATGATAATAATGATGAATAATAATAATATTGTGGATATACCATTATTTTGTTTCTGGCGCGGTGACCGTTTCTGTTTCCACACCGGTAACTGACTATAAATATTCAACGAAGATTATATTTAAACAACTGAGAGTACTGAGACGAGAAAGATTATACAAAATTCGGTTTAATATTCAACAAGATATCATAAAGTCATCATCATCATCATCAAATACTTTTGCACACAGTCCATTGGGGTTTATTGTTTACCAGCCTCGTTGCTTATCCTGATGTATTCACAATCTCGGTTTACTGTTGAACATTGTTTTTTTCATTCAAATATACAAAAATGTGATAAAGGCTACTGTTTTCGTTCCCAGTAATCAGTGTTGGTACTTTATATGGGAAAATAGTTATTGATACTGGAACGGACCAGCTAGGACAAGTATAATTCGTGATAAGTCTATTTTCTTCTATTTTGCACACAGCTTGCAGCATTTTATCGACATCAAATATTTAATCTCAAAAAGTAGTCCAGATTAGTTTATTTAGTCAACTCTCATTCCATTGTTTATTTTTTCGGAAATTTGTGAAAATGATGGGATATATAAATGAAATGTTCATGTTTCGAACCAGTTAAAGATTTGTTGAATTGGTGCATTCCATTATCCGGTGTTTGAGATAACAGTATTGTGCTTGTGGTGAATCATGGTCTCAACAGTGATAGAACTAACCGGTAGGAATTCTTGTAATATGGTATTTCAAAGTACCAGATGATTTCTGAAATAGTAGAAGATATTGAAGATGCGTATAGAATAAGAGTTTATAGATATGTTCCCTAGTTCTCTCGAGTGTCGATTCAATAACCCTAATAATATCAGATTCTAGGAATCACTAAAAAAATGATATTGAATCCGATTCACTCATATTTTGAGCCACCCTCAACTTTTACAACTCAAGTAATTATTCATTGAAGAAGTTCAGGGGAATTCCATAATAATTTTCTGCTGATATCAAATTATTTTTCTATTCACGTACTCATATATCTGAAATCTACAAAGATCTTTCAAAGGATGATAGATGCAAAGCAGAAAGTTTGATGTCGGTGTGTCTAGATCCGTAGTAGAAACTGCAGCCTATTAAGTCAATCTTTCATGCAAAAAAATTACTCAACGAAAAATAGGACGTATAGATATTTTTTCGCTATGAACAAATATGATGAGAATTGACAACCCTGTACCAATCCTGTATCACTTCATTCCAGTTAACAAACACTGTCATCAAAATGAAGCCGTTGGAGTTGATAGAAGTGCTAGACGGAAGTTGATAACAGCCAGTGTACTATGTGTAATATTCATGTTGGGAGAAATAGTAGGTGAGTATATATTTCGTTCTGAATCGTTGATAATAGTCCATTGTATCTCAAAAAGAAGCGGTATCAAATACAATAGGAAGTCACTTCAATTTCAAGCGAAAGTCACCATAACTCCCTTATTTTTAATAGCAAAATCGTCGTTACACATAGTTACATAAAGTTGCATAGCCTAATATTCCAACTCGTTTGGTTCGGAAATTGAAGTGACGTTATCGATAGTCACCATTATTCACCTGGTTGCTGATGTCACACACACTAATTCCTTGAAATCATTGGAACATCGTATGGGAAAGTCGGTGACCTTTTATTACTTCTCTATATAGATATTTTCACGGGAAATGTTCTTCAGAAGTCTACATCACTATAGCACATTCTTGTAGAACAGTTCTTAATCATTTGTTTGTAAAACGGCAACACTCTGGAATTATTTTCCAGAGATAGTATTCTCTATAACTTATTTCCTGAAAAATTAAAAAATATATATATTGCTTACCTTCACGATCCCCTTATCCTTTCCTAGTACGATATGTTCCTCGAACATAATGGGGATATACAGGGTGTTTGGTGCATCGTGTGCCAAATTGAAATGGTCGAATGAAGGGGTCATCTGCTTAACACCTTTCATGCCCTGTGGTTTTTTTCAATCATCTTTTCATCTGTTTATCAAAAAAAGACTCAAATTCCATATTCAAATAAAAATTTTGAAAAAAGTATTAGGCGTAGACTCTGGATTTTAATTTTATTCAGATGTGTATTGTGTTAGAGTACTTTTAAATACATAACTAGTGACATAAGTCATCTAGTTTTTTTTTTAATTCACTCGCAAAGTTTCGAAATATGTAAAACTCAAATTAAAGCTGTGACTTTACATGGCTACAAAAAAAACCAAAAGCGACCAGGATCTTCCAACTCCCTCAAAAGTTCTCTAGTCCATCCTCTTGCCAATAATGTGTCACATGCCATTAATATATTTTAACAACTTTGTGAATTCGCTAGAAATGTCAATCAAGTCTTATAAGGCCGTTATTCAAAATGATCTGAAAAATTATTTTTGCGTAACTGTTACTCCAGAAACGAGTGAAATTTATATTTCTTGCACAACGTAAATCCGTTTGAACAAATCACGAACTGCCAACGATCCCATTATTTTTTAGTCGAGACATCACTGCCTCTGCTACCTAACGTGTTCATTTCATCGTACTCCGCGATTCTTTCATGCGTGGATTGGGCGCGATGGCCTTATTGAATGGCCGCCACGTTCCCCAGACCTAACTCCGTTAGACTTTTATGTCTGGGGACCTGCCAAAGGGCTGGTATACGCCACGGAAGTTCCAACTAGGGATGTACTAGTCCAACGCATAGAAACGGCCTTCGATACCATTAAGGAGGAAATACCGACTTCGAACAACAACTGTCGAAATACGAAACAGATGTCGAGCCTGCATTCGCAACAGAGGTCAACAATTTGAGCAAGATTTGTGAGATTTATGAAATGAATGCGAAATAAATGCTGAAAATGCAACTTTATTTTTTGTTTATTTCAAGTATAATCCACGAAACAATAGAGATACGAGACTGATTTCACCTCATGAGAGTAAGATAACAAATTCAAAAGGTTCAGGTATCATTCAAACAAAAATAATTTTTCAAATCATAATTCTGAATATTTGCCTTATGTGACTCGATTCACAATTCTAGCGAATTCACAAAGTTGTTAAAAGATATTTATGGCATGTGACACATCATTAGCAAGAGGATGGACTAGAGAACTTTCGAGGGAGTTGGAAGATCCTGGTCGCTGTTGGTTATTTTTTTGTAGTCATGTAAAGTCACAGCCTCGGTCACAGCTTTAATTTGAGTTTCACATATTTCGAAACTTTGCGAGTAAATAAAAGATAAACTAGATGACTTATGTCACTAGTTTTGTATTCAAAAGTACTCTAACACAATACACATCTGAATAGAATTAAAATCCAGAGTCTACGCCTTATACTTTTTTCATTCGACCATTTCAATTTGGCACACGATGCACCAAACACCCTGTATACAGGGATTTTCTTTGGTGTGCTCAAAAAGATGAAAAAATAACGCTTACTTTCGGGACAGGGAGTGGAAGTTGTTATTGGATTTCTTTAAAATTTTGGTGGTTATAGGCGCAGCTTTAGATGAAGTTCTTAGGAATACTGCACTAAGGAAAATTGTTATTAACCATAGCTAGTAACCTTGCAAGCAGCAAGAAACTCTAATAGCATAAGGGACAAGCGAGTTATCATCTGTGATTATAAAGTCGACTTTGCTGATAATTAGAAATCGAACCTTGCTGCCACTAGCGAGTGAATTTGCATAAATATGGTCATTAGAGAATGTTTCTATAGTAGGTATTTGACTTTGCTATTACTAGTGAGTGCATCTAATAATGGTCGTAGGGCAATGTTATAATCATATATAGGTAGAGAACTTTAATCTATGATTCTGTTGTGAATAGTATTATTGTTAATGACAACTAATGAGGTGAAAATAGCAACGTATTTTGTAGGAAATGGGTATATTTTATTGTTGTTGATAGAAATCTCAATATTTTGAATCATCTGTACTAAAGAAATTCCAACTAAGCGATTTAGTTAACCATGTTTTCTCAGTGTGACGTCATAATCTCATTTTCTGTGTTGTCAGCAGATTTATTTTAAGGAACCATCAAGTAAATAATTCTCAATTTTCGAATCGTTCCATCTGTGAACTGTCGAGATATTCATTGATGTAGTAAATGTACCCAATCTATAGGTTTTACCCCTATTGTCAATTATACATGTCTTTTAGTTGACTTTCAATACTTTCATCACTATATCGAGTTGATTGTAGCATGTTGTAGGGTTCAATCTGCAGCGACAAAATTCGGTCCAATCCACAATTAGACGTTTATACCGAGGTTTATAAAATTCAAGTGAACGATTTTGGTACACTGGCCATTTCAATATACTTCAAATTCTGATGACATCTCTCTAATATCTATGTATATATCATAATATGTCACAATCCATTTTATATATAAATAATGCATTATATAAAACATTCAAAATTAAAAAAAATCTCTGTACCGTTTCTGAAAGGGATTAACATCATAGTATTTTTTCTAGAAATTACTGACTAAATAGTGATATTTTGGTGGTGATTGTATGTTAGAACAATGCAGTATTTAGTAGAGTGAACAGTTTCATTCACCATTGGAGTGCGATGTTGAGGGGTACCATCATAATTCAAACTGTCGAATCAATTTCGATCGAAAGTATTCCCAAAGATTCTTATCTTTTGTGCGTCAGTGTACTCTGTTCTATATTTATTTTTGATTATTAATAATTTTGAGAGTGAACGCAATGCTTCGCAACTGGCAATAGATAATGTTGAAAACAACTTTAAAGCAGTGTATGTTGGGAGATGCGTCCATCATTCCCTTCCTGTATACAGGGTGTCCGGATAACCATGGATCATACTCTAACTGATGAAAAAGTTATAACATATCACAAAACCATCAGTTGACCTCAGTAAAAACTACATGATTTTCGAGATATTGAAACTTTTATAAACAAAAATGAATTCCTACTCAGATCTTTTTTTTTATTTCAAACAAATAAGGAGTTCATGTTAATTCTCATTTTCGATAAAATATTACTGAATATTATAGTTGTAACAACCGCAGAAGGCAGATTTTCGATAGCAGTCATTTACGGTCTAGAAAATAATACGAGAAAACAAATTTGAAATGTTCTAAGTGCCATCAGATTCACTTCTGAATCAATATATATAAGTCTATTTGTATGGGTAGTAATAATAGTAATATGTTGAAAAAAATTTGCGGCACGTAGATTTTTTCAAAAGTATATTTCGAATTATCGAAATGGAGAAGTACAAAATGACTTTCCGGAATGCAGCGAAATAGTTTCTGTCAGTCTCGTTCATGCAGCATTCATTTTTTTGGATGCGTTCACCTTCTCCGGCCCAATGCAGCTATTTGGAAGAAAGGATAATTTTTTCATTGGAGTTTCTTGATACAACTTTCGAAATCTTTGAAATCGGTAACTTCCAGCTATTAAGATGTAGTATGGCTTCTTTTATTCAATGCTTTCAAGTTCTTGATGAAAAATGAAGGTGAAAAAAATCAGTTTCAATTCATTTACTTCTCACTATGACTATGAATGTTTAATGTTGATAGACTGAGATAACAAGGGTGTATATGTATTGGTTTAATGAAGCAAAGTTCTATCTGAGTGTAGATAGGACCATGATAAACCAAATTATGTAGTTAGGATGTTGTTGCACCAAATTGAGAGCGAAACATTCTATGTAGATAGAACTCTGCATTATGACTAATAACTCATTTAAATTCCAACAGATTGCGATAATTTACATCTCAAAATAAAGAATTCATCAGATAGAACCCTAATATACCAAAATCTCAATTTTGGTAAAAAAGGCAGATGGAACCTTATTATTCCAGGGCGACGAAATCATACATGCCCAATAAGGAATACGCATGATTTTTTGGTTAATCGAAATTATATTCCTTCTTCCTTATAATAACACTGGATATCATTCTTTAATCTCAAATTTGCTTGTGACTCTAACAAATTTCATTTAAATGAGGCTAAATATAAAGTCACAGGAAAACGTGTTAGTGGCCATCACTAATATTATGACGTCATAGTATTAGGCCGCACAGCCATAGACTAGCGCGGCAGAATGACAAGATTCAGATTGAAAAAAAAAGAAGAAGAAGAGGTAGGAGAAGAAAACAGCAGTGTTGCCAATCTCCGGGAAATTTCCCGAATTTCGGGATATTTTATGGCGTTCGGGAAGTTCCCCGGGAAATGGATTATTTCGGAAAATTTCCGGGAAATCAATGGTGTTGAAGATGTTCTTGTTATAGCACGTTATTATAGTGAATAAGTGAATTGGCGGGAACACTAATCTGCAAGTGATCGCTGATCACTGATCGAAGACGCATAGTAAATGAAAAGGCAATCTAATGACTCACGTTTTGTGTTTTTATTGTTTGTGATTTGTTATTTTCTGTTATCAATTCTGATGCTTGTGTGGAACGGATTTTCAGTGACCCCAAAAATATCAAAATGGACCACAAATAATAATAATAAAATGAAGGAAACAACTCTAACTTCTCTCATATATACCAAAGAAGGCATTCAAGAAAAAGGTGGTTACCTCAAGTTCAATCCAAGTAATAAAATGATAGATGCAAAAATTTGGCAGAAAAAAAATAGTTGTGAAAATAGATTCTTCATACTTCTTATATAGTTTTGAGAATATTATTATGAGAAACGAATTTTTTATTTGAATTTTCGGATCCTATTCCGCACCTGATGATTATTTCCAATTATCAATTATTAAACGCATGTTACCTAAATAAATTATTCAATTCACATAGGTTTATATATCTATCAATTTTTCATGAGATTGGTAGTTCATTTGTTATGTTTGATACATATATTCACATGAAAATATGGAAATACATTTGGGTGAGTCTGATTATTCTTCCTTCATAAATCTTAATGGCAAAACATTCCATTTTTGAAACTCAAATTTTCTTGTGCTAGTTATTCGGTTTGTTTTTTGTGCTCAAGGACATTCCTTTCCACCTAGCTGAATGAATGGAAGTTACACATATTCGGTTCATACCCAACCTTTTTATGTGAATGTAATGAACAAATAAGAGAACAATGTTGATCCAAGCACAGGTATAGGTACATGTTAAGTTTGTTTTTTGTTTGGAGAAACACTTCATTTTCTATTACTATATAGCACACCAATCATAGATCTAATATATTCAAGAAAAAAATTATGACCGGGAAAACCGGGATTTTTTGGTTGGTCAGCTGATAAATTTCATTCTGGGAGTCCGGCAACACTGGAAAACAGTTTCAAACGCCAGAAATTTGAAATTTGAAAATGGAAAATGATAATGTTTATACCAAATACTGCCTAGTGCCGCAATGCCTTTCATCAACAAAAGTATCGCCAGGAAAAATATTCCTTCCATTGTCAGTGGAATCGAGTGATAAAAATAAAGAGAAAAGAAAATTATGGTTGCAAGCCATAAGTAGAAATGATTTATCCGAGAAAACCAGAGGATTTGTTTGTGAAGACCATTTCGAAGTGAATATACGTTCAAGTATGTCCTAGTGAAACCCATTATATATCAATGATTATGTTCCTCATGTTATTAGGAGAATAATATAATATGTGATTTCGTTTTCAGCTTGAAGAAGATATGGAAAACTATATGAGATATAAATTGATAGGTTGTAATATATATTTGAAACAACATGCAAAAAGAAGTCCTGTTTGATCCTTCTTATTGTAGTTATTTGCTTATTATTCAGTTATTGTTATTAAGAATATATCATATAATTGAGATACATTATAGAAACTACAAGCTCAGATAATCATAACCTCACTTTCTCTTATATTATTTTCAATCTTTTGGACATGAACATGCAGCCATGGTATTCTTCTTCTATATTTTCCCATGAATGTTTGACATGACAAATAAAAACAGCCACATCCAGTCGGAAATCATCGCTGCAGTTCGGCTGTTGGTCGGAAAGTTGCAAATATTATGATTTTCAATCAGAAATTATTAAATATTCGGTGCTTAATAATGTTTTTCGGATGTATAATTCTACATTTATACACATGAGTAATGGAACAAAAATATATTCCAGTGTAAAATTTTCACACGCGTATACCCTATTTTGTTTTTCAGGTGGTTATTTGTCGAACAGTTTGGCCATAGCCTCAGATGCGGCTCACCTGCTAACGGACTTCGCCAGTTTCATGATATCTCTGTTCTCCCTGTACATGGCGAACAGGCCGTCCACCAAAAAAATGTCATTCGGCTGGTACAGAGCTGAGGTCATTGGGGCCCTGACGTCTGTCTTGATGATTTGGGTGGTCACCGGCATCCTCGTTTACATGGCAGTCCAAAGGATAATAAACGAATCGTACGAGGTGGACGCGGAGATCATGCTGATCACTTCTGGGATAGGTGTGGTCGTGAATATCATGTGAGTATTTTTTTTCATCTCTTGGAGCCCACGAAAGGATATTCCTATGATCAAAAGGAAGAAGGAAAGCTCAAAGTCATCGCCAGGGTTTCCATTGCTATTACAATAGTAATAGATCTATTACATTCTAGCACTCTTCATAACCTACGTCGTTACTACTATTCGAAATTCATAGCGAATCTATTACCATTCGATTCCAACTCGTTAAAAAGAAGAACAGGATCTGACGTCTGATGTTGCGATGACATACAAACTACGTGAAAACATGTCTAACTTACAATAATCTAAGTAAGGTGGCCATGCCAGGAGTTAGGAATGTTATCCCGTAGTTTTTATGTCATTGCAACGTTAGATGATGACCTTGACTACCGCCAATGAGGTAGCGCTCGAGATGACGGCCGACGGAGCGGATGAGAGGTTTATTTGGGCTTCTGACGTCACAAGCACAACTGACATAATTACTAGACTATAAGATATATCCCAGCAAACCAAAAATCTTGTTTAAATTCCTCGCCTGGAAACGTTTCTGCTCAATGCGCAGGAATTCTCAAACTGTCGTTCATGACATAAGGAATCATGCGAGTCATGTCTCTTGGTGTTTGATATGGTATTCGCAAACATAAGTAAGAGTGAGTAAAATATAATGACAGGTCCATATTGCGCACGCTCCATATTGAACCAAGAACCAAGTTCGATCTCATTAGAGATCTCATGAATGAATGAGCATTGATCTTACGGCATTAGCGATCTAGTTCTAGTTCTATTTCACCTAATGCATGATCATCAACCACTTTGCTACTGAAAATAGTGGAGATGAGATGTTCGAAGCGCATGCGCATAACTATATATTTTTTATTTTTCGTAATTTTTCAATCTATTACTATTCACTGTCATCTATTACAATTTCACGTCGCAATTTAGTACATTTTATAGTATTCCTCATCGCAACCCTGGATCTCCACTACTTTATTACTGATGTAAATCAATCAAGGGGACATGTTTTGGACTTATAAAAGTCCATCTTCAGCCGTTTTTAGAAGTTACTACAAGCAAAGGCATGTGAAATTATACATATTATGAAAAACCAAAAGTTGACTTACATTGGAGGTGAACATTATTTTTACAATGGATGCCGATGTCTATCATCATAATATCGTGGTTCTGTTAATGAATAAGGAGGTTGAGAAAAAACGAGTTTTCATTAAAAATGAAGGGGCCCCTCTATGTAAGTCAACTTTTGGTTTTCTTATAATACTTATGTATAATTTCACATGCCTTTGCTTGTAGTAACTTCTAAAAACGGCTGAAGATGGACTTATTATAAATTTGTTTTCACATATATCTAATCACAGATTCGTAATTGGTTTTTTTCATTTTAAAATTTGTTTCCATCTATTCATCGTACAACTGACAGAAAATATAGATTTATATTTGCTTCCAATATTTTATGACCATCTGTTTTCTCGAAAATAAAAAAGTACCTCCAGAGATGCCTCTATACAGGGTGGGTCACGGTGGATGGCCTATTAGAAGTATCTGGAGATCGAAAAGACAGAACAGTCTGAAAATTGGGATGCTTCGATAATTGAACATTCTCTATTCGTCTAAAATGTTTTAATCGATACAGTGTTGTCACTTCTATTAGAAACAACTAGCAACTTTGTTATGTCGAATAGAACACACTGTATTTTATTGCATTTTTAGATTCTTCCTGAGGAGCTGATTTCATCAATGTATCTCACTTGGGGTCTAGCGGAAATGATTACAGAGATATAGGGTATTCAAAATCTAGATTTTTCAATTTCAGGATTTTGTTGTGTCGAAACTATTCATTATTGATCAAAACGGCTCACATGTCCCTATCTCAACTTTTGATTCACTATCTACTGGAATTTAATTGGAAAAAATACATAGTGCTTCAAGATTCAGAATTCTGATCACCCTGTATCTGTTCCAATTAAATGTCAGTAGATAGTGAATCGAAAGTTAAAATAGGGACATGTAAACCGTTTTGATCGATAATGAATAGTTTCGAAAAAAAAAAATCCCAAAATTGAAAAATCTCGATTTTGGACACCCTATATCTCTGTAATCATTGCTGCTAGACCCCAAGTGTGACACATCGAAGAATTCAGCTCTTCAGGAAAAATCTAAAAATGCAATGAAATACAGGATGCTCCATTTAAAATAACGAAGTTGCTAGTTGTTTCTGATTGAAGTGGCAACACTGTATCGATGAAAACATCGAAGCATCCCGATTTTCAGAATGTTCTGTCTTTTCGTTCTCCAGATACTTCTAATAAGCCATCCGAGAAGTGGAAAAAAGATGAATTTTCGTCTTGTGACTTCAAACCCCTTTTTGTGGTCCGTTTTTTGGAAAAAACAAAATTATTATTCAAGATTTTCCCTCGTTGTCATCAAAACCATTGACCAACATACGATTCAATTTCATTTTGGAAAATGAAGATTGCAATTTCCATTTGTTTTTCTCCGAAATCTCGGGAATTACAAGTAACAGGTTGAATTTTTTTCCAGATCCTGAATCTAGGCAGAAATACACACTATTTTGAAGATATTTTACATTCTAAATTCGAGCTGATACCGTTTCTCGACTAAAAGTATTCAGAACATGTTCCTATCGAAATTGAAAAAAAAATCTCCCATTGAACACATAATTACAAATGAAAAAGTTATTTTCCAATACATTTTTCTTCTTTTCAGAATGGGTCTATCTCTTCACCAACACGGTCATTCCCACCACGGCCACAATAGTGAGAATAAATCCGGAAACGCAAAAGAGAATATCAATGTTAGAGCTGCTTTTATTCACGTCATTGGAGATTTTCTACAGAGTTTCGGAGTTTTTGTAGCTGCTATATGTATCTACTTCAAGGTATATCAAAATGAAAATACACTAAAATGCGCTGAAGGATTCACGAGAAAATATTGTTTTTTGGAAAACCGAATTTCAAGTTGCATCTGAGAATTCTAATATACTATATAATGAAGTCAAAATCAGAGTTTTGTCATGAGATGTGTCTCAGAATTTTGAGTTGTATGTAAAAATTCTGACCTGTATTGTTTATCGGACTTCTGACTTGTATGTCAATATTCTGGCTTGTATTGCTCTGACTTCGGAATATCTCGGAATTCTGACATGCAACTTAGAATTTCTACTTCTAACTCAGAATTGTGACATATTAATCAGAATCCTGGATGCAACTCAGCAACCCACAATTTTGATTGGAGCACATTTTCTGTTCATTCAAGATATACAGGGTATCCTGATGTTAACAGTATTTGAAGCAGAATATTGGAACACAAGTCAGAATTTTAAGATACTAAGGCAGTATCCGTCATTATACAGGGTGAGTCCGTTTTTTGTAGCAGGACTTCAGCAGCTTGATGAACACACTTTTTCAGGACGAAAATTTCATGTGAACGTATATACGTGGGATCTTCGTTTCCGATATACAGGGTGTAAGTCTTTGAGGTTTTATTAATGTTTTTTCAATTTTCCTCCCACAATTTTCAAAATACCGAATTGAAATTTGGTATCCTTATTAAACTTGAGGAACCCAATATTGAGGGCTATTAGGCATGTTTGAATACCTACAGGGTGATACACTTTTGGGGGTTGTACCCAAATTAACCCTCTTGAACATCAATTGAGACTATATCTGATTCATTCGGATAGTTCTTGCTCTTTTATATGTTTTTCCAGAACTGCATTGATTTCGAGATAAATGCTAAAAATAATTTTCGTGTGATTTAACTTCGAACACACCCTAATTGACATCTCTCAATAATTGACTAGAAGACCTGGGATGATCGAAAGCTTCCATAAGATGTGTTGATGAAACTCAGTGGCAGAACTCGAAAAACACAAAAAATATATGAATATCACACCGCCTGTATATCGAAAATATTGGCTCCTACGCATATATGTTCACATAGGATTTTTATTTTGACATAGTATAGGTACCTTCTTTAAGCCGTTGAAGTCCTGCTACAAAAAATTGACTCACTCTGTATTTCAAAATTTTGAGTTGTATGTCAGAATTTTGACTTGTGTTATAGAATTCTTCAGAATATCTCTGAATTCTGACATGCAACTCATCAGAATTCTTACTTGCGTATCCAGAATGCTGACATATACATTAGGACTCCGACTCAGCACATTTTCAGATATAAAGGGTATCTCGCAAACAGGATATAAACCAGCACCCAGTACCTCCTCATTTTCATATATATAGACATGTATTCATCTGTCCAATTTTTCTCTTCGGAATTGACTTAAGAGTAATGGAACATATTTATTATTTCGTTTCTTAATTCATATTTTCAAAGTTTAACATTGTTTTTAGCGTTCGTCCTAAGAAGTTTGCACCAACCTGTAGAACACCCTGTTAATGTTGTTTGTTAGTATTACTATGAACAGCGGTTTTTTTTTTTCAGAGTGACTGGATGATAGTAGATCCAATTTGCACATTCCTATTTTCGGTGCTGGTACTGATAACAACTTTCGCAATAATCAAAGATGCCTTGATGGTACTTATGGAAGCTCTGCCAAAAGGCATTGATTTCGAGGAAGTTATGAACATACTTCTTGCTATAGAGGGTGTCAAAAAAGTTCATAACTTGAGGATATGGGCATTGAGTCTTGATAAAATTGCGATGTCAGCTCATATTGCGATAAGTAAGTAGATATCATTCTCAGACCCATTTTCACCAAACGAATCATGATCTCAGATTAATTGAAATTGTCAAGCTGGCTCAACATAAAAGTAATCCGTTTTACGCCAAGCCCGTCAAAAGATGATTGTGATTAATAAACTAGAAAGGAATAGGAAAGAACTCATTTTATGAACATGAGGGTATGTTCAAGAAAAAATATAGATCATTTTCACCAGTGACAATTGAAGTGAAACATAATAAAACATCCTTGTCCTTTAAGAATTCTTCGATAACTTTTCTTTTCAAAATATTTCCTCTCTTGGATCTATCGCCTCTAGAAAATGCAATGTTTGCTTCATCTGACGTCATTCTAATCTTGCTCTGAAGTATCAATAAGTCAAAAACGGCCGATTTGCACTGAATCATCATTAGTCGATTCAATCGTTAATCGTAGTCTGAGATTTTACTTTTGATATAAATCAGGGTTGTTGTTGTTGTTGTGAAACATTACCTTAGTTTCGAGTATATTTCAGATTAGTCATTTAATTTTTTTTCAGGTTCTGGAACAAATCCTCAGAATGTTTTAATGGTTGCTACAAAGAATGTGCATGACAAGTTCAACTTTTTCGAAATGACATTGCAAATTGAAGAGTTTCAAGAAATCATGGAAGATTGTCAGCAATGTAGAAATCCAGACTGATATTTCCTTAGCGTGCCAATTGTGTTTTAATTTATTGTTATTTTTATTAAATGATATTGAACTATTGGCGTTTCCTCCATGAAACCATTGAAGTTCAGGAATATTTTGCTCAACGTTTATCAATCATCACTGGTATTCAGTAAGAAAAATGCAACTAAAGATACAATATTTTTATTACATTTTTCAATCACAAATTGTTGGATGTAAAAAAATATTCTTTGGGGTAATAAATAAAACTATATAACTACCTATCAACAGCACTATATACATAAATACAAAATAAGAGTACACTCTGATTGTAATCTTGTAACCTATCCAGAGAGTTTCAAAAGTGACGATATCGCCTATGAATAGAGAAACGGGAGTTCATTTCCATTGGAAAAGTTACATTCATGATATGTTCTTTTATTTCTCCCTTTCTTTAAAAGGCCTATCGGCTAAAAAACTACTTCACACCATAATAACTGTGGCTTCGCGATATGCACTGTTGTCACTGATAAACTTCTGAATTTCTAATGTTTCTCCCTACTCTTGAACAACTATCAACAAAGAAAAATACTTCGCATCCAGATTGCTTCGGCTATAAATGGTCATGGATATTCCAACTAATAAATTCAGTCAACATCGCCCTAACAAGTAGATGGCATTGGTTTTAAATTTGCGATTGAGCTTATCCTTCTGGTTCGAACACCTGCTAATTTCCTTTCTATATCTGCTAAACTTTGGCCTCTAGTTTCTGGAACTATAGCTATGGAGAATACAAGGGCACCTGTAACGATGATACCGTACATCCAGAAAGTATAATGAGCTCCTATGCTGTCCATTATGAGCAAGAATGTTTTGGTCACTATAAAAGTACAGGTCCAGTTGAATGCTGTTGAGATGGATGCTGCAGGTCCTCTTATCCTGGCAGGTAAAATTTCTCCCATCATCAGCCAGGGAATCGGCCCAAAACCAAGAGAAAACCCTAGCACATATATCATGAAACTGATGAGTGGTAGCCAGGACAATGGGTGGACATCAATACTCGTCACATTCTTCATGTAGAAATATGCCCCTAGTACTCCAAGTGAGAGGATCATTGAAGAGCTGGATATGTAAAGTAGAACCTTTCTACCCAATTTATCTATGAGAAGAGACGCTATGAACGTTGACACAAAATTGACTACTCCCACGATGGTTGTACAAACACTGTCTTTGAGCTCCGAGCCAGATTCTTTGAAAATTTTTGTGGTGTAGAATATCACAGCGTTAATCCCACTGAACTGCTGGAATAGCATAAGTCCTAGCACTATGGAAAGAAGTTTCAGATTATTCCTTGAGAACAAAACCAAGATACTTTCGTGGTTGTCATCTGAATCTTTCTGAATCTTTTGCATCTCAAGGAATTCCTTATCTACATCAGCATCTGCTGCGCGCAGCCATTGCAGAGCCTTTCTGGCCTTCTCATCCTGTCCTTTGGACATGAGGAATTTTGGGGTCTCTGGTATGAACCAAACCATGATCAAGAATGGTATTGACAAAATTCCTCCGACTACCCCTAGTGCTCTCCACTGAAAGAAGGTTCCAGAAAGGAAGCAAATTAAGATTCCAACGTTGCCTAGCGCTGTTGGAAACAGACCCAGAGATCCCCTTACTTCAGGCTGGATAGTTTCGGCAGTGTATACAGGCATTGAGAGGGAACCTATGCCTACAGCTATACCGGTTATTATCCTCCCTACGTAAAGGTACATGTAGGTCTGTGCGAAAGAGATGGTTAGCCAAGATATCAGGAATAGGATATTTGTTAGGAGAATGGTCCATTTTCTTCCGAAGTTTTCTATCAATGTGCCTCCGCCTAGGCCCCCAGCTAAGGCTCCGAGAGGCATGAAGCTGGAGATCCATGATATCTGAAACAAAAATTGTCTTGTTTACTTGAAGTACGTGGCTTTAGAGTGGATTCAAGGCATATTTCAACTCTGGCAAGGATCCAATGACAAATAGAATATGTCGTTCTTGGCTTCTGAATTAACATTTGTAAGTGACATCAAAACTATCCATTCACCAGGTGTCCCAGATCTTTTCATACAGCCAATATTTCATCAGTTATGCTACTTGGATGAAAATCAATCAAAATTACACTTTTGTCAAACCCAATGACCAATGGCCAAAATTTGTAGTTTTTTGATTTTTTTTCCTATAGGAGCATAACTGAGATATTGGCTGTATTTAAAAATCTGGGACACCCGTTATAGGGACAATTACTCATTGATATTAATCGAAATAACGTTGAAAAACTTGAAGATATGTGAGATCACACGAGAATTCTAGGTTTCTTGGTGATTTTATTCACCTCGAACAATTTTGAGGATGAAATCACTTCATTTGAAGACACTTAGTGATTGAGGTGATTTTGAAAGTATAAAAGTGGCACAGAAAATAATATAAATATTCATGAAAATGCTGGGGCTTGTTTTTTTAAAACAGAAGGAGTTTTCTTGACTTCTACAAAATAGGAAACACGTGTTGAATATTACCTATTGTTGTATTTCCACTGAAAAATAGTAAGAATGTTTCTGAATAAAATGATTCATATTCTGATAAGATTATCGAGAATCCTTTATCAATTATTAAGTACCTATTATATTAGACAAGATGTGTTTATATAATTAAATTGTATATTGTATTAAGGTATGCTAAACATAATATGTTCATTATTATTCATGCTTTGGTGAAGCAATAATTCTAGTTGTTAGTATAGGTAACTATAATAGATTCGTTTCCACTTTCAAATCGGTTCAAAAACACTTGAATGAAAAGTTCAGTCCAGAAATAGTTTCCAAACATCGTAAATGACAAAAACAATACAGTGTGACCAAAATGAGGTTGCACAGCATGGGGATCTCGGAAACGGGAGGAAATATGGAGAAAAAGTTGCGCATTCAGACGGTCATACCAACTGTCTTAAACAATTTTCAAAATCTCCTTTTATTTTTTCAGTTATATCGAGAAAACTGAATTTTTGAAAAATAGAACCATCATCAACTTTTTTTTTCAAATACGGTCCTGATTAGGTGTTGACAGACTCTGGAAGCTTTTAATGTATTATACAAGGTGGTTTGGATGTGTTTCAACCTAGTTTTAACCATCATCAATGTTTTTTCGAAATTCCAAAGAGAAGGGTGGCCAGGTAGCCGTGCGGACAGAGTGTCTATATTCTAATTCGCATTCGCTTGCCGGTCGTGGGTTCGATCCCCGTCGACTGCAGAAATTTTTCTGATGGCCCAAGAAAGTGTTTGGGATCACACGTTAAAAGGTAAGGCCCCCGTCATTCCTTGCTCGCACAAGACTTTCGAAGACTTTTGAGGGTTGCTCGTAAGGGGGCAACCGAATGACGGATAGAACAAATTTTAGAACAAAGAAAGAAATACCATGAGTTCCACTTATTCATGATAATTCGGTGTTGAACATTGATGTAGGTTAGTTATTCATTACTGAGAAAAAATATTTCACTGAATTTAATACAGCCCTTCAAATATTGTTTCATGTTAATGAATTTTACACGAATTACCTTGACAACTAAACTTATTCTACAGTCCCTTGGCCGGCGCGATCGCCAGATTGGACACCGCTGGATTTTTTTCTTTCGGGATACGTTAAAAACTTTGTTTCCGCAAATAATTTTGATAACGAAGAAGAACTAAGGGACAGGGTTATCGAAGCATTCCATAGTATTTCCTCAGAAATGCTTAGAAATGTCCTAGAAGTAACCGTAAGATAGGATTGTTTAGGAAATTATGGTTATAATTATTTTGAACATTTGTTATGAATGTGATTATCAAATTATGTTCGTGTTGTGAGTATATATAGTTATCAAGGTAATTCGTGAGTACCTAATAACCCATCAACATGAACGGATATTTGTAGCGCTGCATTGAATTATTTTGTGGAATATTTTTGTTTACTTTTCAGTATTCACTCATTTCTGATCATTCGCTGTTAAAAAATGATGTAGTTATATCATTTTTTAACAGCGAATCATCAGAAATAAGTGGAACTGATGGTATTTCCTCTTTGGAATTTCGGAAAAACATTGATGATGGCTAAAACTAGGTCGAAACACATTCGAACCGCCTTGAATAATACATGGTCGAATTCAGAATGAAGAAGCTTTAATAATCTGTGAACACCTAATCAGGACGGTATTTGAAAAACCAAAGTTGATGATTGTTCTTCAAATGCGAAACGTCGCGTAGAGAAATCAATATCACCGCGTTAAATCTCATCAGAAGTTGTCATGGAAAAGTATTTTCAGTTTTTCTGTATATTTCATAATAACGTAGAAAAATAATAGAATACATTTTCCAAAAATTAACTTTTTTTTCGGTATGACTGAAAAAATAAAAACAATTTTGAAAATTTGAAACTTTTTCCACAATTAAAATCGTATCTCCTCCCGTTTCCGAGATCCCATGCTGTGCAACCTTATCTTGGTCACTCTGTATAGTTGAACTCTATGTATCTGTGTTAGAAACAATCAATGTGCGATTGAAAATTAATTCAACCTATGCATATTTAATAAGAGCCAAAATGATATCCTTGAATAATTCAAAGAAAAAATTTCTTTCAATGTTGGCTGATATGAAGCATGTATCAAAACTCGTTCAACAGACAAAATGTTCGAAATCCCTTCAGTAGCGCTCTCTCCAACACCTCTTTCAATATTTCTGAACGGAAAAAGATGACGCCACTTCGCCACTACATGTTTTACAGAATAAAACTAATTTTCAACTCTTATCATAATTCAATAAGAATAGCCATGTGTCTTTTTCCTAACTAATCCCATTCTTAGTAGTGTATGTATATACAGATTTACAAAAGTAACAGTTCATTATTCTTTCGAAATGAAATCGGGTATATATCTAAGGCGCAATATGTTAGATATCATTCTGTTCGGGGTGGTGAGATATCGATAGTCTCTCTATGCTACGATGAAATTCAAAAGTTGGGTTTTGTTTTTCTTCTTTCCTTCTTGCCAATTCAATGTGTTTGTTTCCATTGAAAGTATCCATGTAATTTATTTGAAGTGTTTGGTAACTTTGAAATGAAGTTTGAATTGATTCAGATGGGATATTTTCAAATATTTTATTCAAGAGAAGATATTCAAATATAGAATTGAGATAAATCGTTGGAGATAGGGACATGAGAGCCGTTTCGACCAATAATGAATAGTTTCGACACAAAAAAATGTCAAAGTTGAAAAATCTCGATTTTGAACACTTTATATCCCTGAAACCATTACAGCTAGACCCCAAGTGTGATGCATTGATGAAATCAGCTCTTCGGGGAGAATCTAAAAATGCAATGAAATACAAGGTGTTCCATTTGAAATAACAAAGTTGTTGCTTCTTTTCTTTAGAAGCGGCAACGCCGCAGGGCTGAAAATATTTTAGAAAGATGTCCCCCTCGAAAATGTAGTTGACCTGTTTCAGTTTTTTTTTGATAATCCGGTTTTGGCGACCTACAGAGCCTCTGTTTCGTTTTCAAAGGCCCACTCTGTATAGGTACCCAGTTTAGTGCCAAATTCTCACATATTTATCATCTGTGGGTAAGGGGAGGAACGACTTGATCTCGAAACATGACTCAACAAAAATAATGTCCGAAAATTGTCACTGGTAACATCTCACAAATGAATGATTATGAATGAATAATAACTTACCTCCAAGGAGGTGAATCCGAAGTCAAGTTCTAAGGATGCTTGTGCAGGAGATGTGTACGCCGTGGAATATCCAATGATCAAAGATACCCATGACACAGCTAATGTAGCAAACAACTGGAAATAAAACACCACTTCAGCACATAATTGAACCTTCAGCACATATTTGAATTATTGGTAGGTACCTGGGAATAGGAAAACTTTGCTTTTGGTTCAGATTCTGGTACCCCACCATTCACGTGAGTGTCTGCCCTGATCAATACTCTCATGCCTCAGTCTCGTTGAATTTGTTTAGCAATTGAAATGAACTCTATTGGCAACCGTATGCACTTTCTGATGGATTGCACATCAACAAACGTTGATACAATTTCGTCTCTCGGTTTTATATAGACGAACTATTCTCGTTGATATTTTATTACGAATTCAATTTGCGTATTGTCCTTAATATATTGGTACGTATTTGTAATTACATCAGGGATAGTTGCAGGGACGTAGCTACCGCCGTATCAGCCGTATCAATGATACGGAGCCCCGGGCCTACACAGGGGCCCCGACTTGTGTAATCAAAAATACGTGAAATATTATCGACAATCTTACTCGATTACAATTAGGCCGTATATTTGACAACATGGGTGTCCAGATTTTGTCTTGGAGCGCACGAAAGGAAATCCCTATAATGTTCGTAAAATATCGTGAGTACCTAAGGAAGATACGGAGAGAAGGTAAGAGTAAGAGTTGCCCCTTTTTCTTTAACTTTTGGAGGTTATAAGTTCTTGGGGGATAATTCAAAGTTAATGTGTCCTATTGCTATTCAGATACATTAATTTCCCAAACTCGAGAAAGATGTCAGAGCCTTTTCAACCTGAGTTATAAAGGGTCTCCATATAAATGATCGTAGCATCATAGTGACCTTTGAACTATTTTATTGATTTGTCGCTTTCCACTTTTGGAGATCGAACTATAACACATTCAGTCGCTTCAATGTCTGTAAACAACATAAGCAGATTGCGGCACAATCTCAACGGTCCCTACGTTCACCGAACATAAACATTCTGATCTGATCAATGAAATAAGTGAAAAAAAAACTTCGAATGTCAAAACAAATCGCTGGTTGAGTTGATCAAACGACATCATAATGTATAACCAGATCTTATAATTCGCTTTTTAAGCGTTCAAGCGGAAAGCTACCTGAACAACTCACTGGTAATAAAGAATTGAACATTCAAAACTTATACATTGCGCATGTCAACAGATTTTTCATTTTTTCAGAAATGAATGATCATTTCGAAATATTTGCCGACCTCAAAGCACCAGGGTCAATAATATCCATCAACTTTGAGAACATGATTTTTGGATTTATTTTGGTATTTTCGACTCTCTCAAGGACACTTCGTTCTATAAGGATTTCATAGTGGTAATCTTGCCTTCATCGAACATGTAGTTGGTGCTAATTAGGTTAAAAAAAGTCTAAGAAACTCCTTCGACTCAATTGGTGAAAAATAGGCCAAACAGAGTATAAATCCGACTTATTTTCTCCATCTGATTATTCCCTGACTATATGAACGTTTGTGAAGTTTATCTCGAATAAATATCCTGAGATTTCCAGGGCCTTGAAGATATTTTACTGGTAATTTTGATGTTAAATATACAACAACTAATAACTAGATGCCCACTATAACCATGAAGTTATGTTTGAAGTCTGTAATGAGTAGTTTCCAACTATGCAATTTGCCTATAAAGTTCATGGTTTTTATAGAAAATGTTGAGGTCCTAATCATGCATTTTACAACCTAATCCATAACTTTCTACTTACTCAGGGCATGAAGGTAAAATATTCTGTCGGAAATTAGTAAATTTCGACTTCTTCAAGTAATTTTTCCTCTCTGCTTGGTATAATTCTCTTAAAATGTTGGTTGGGATAAGGGTACAGCTTCTATGGAAGTTGTGGTGAACAACTAGGCCAACTCAATTTCCACTAGAAGATACGAAGGACGTCGCAATTCCACAGTTCCTGATAAATAAGTAATGTCCAAAGGATCATTTGAAAATCTTACCTGTGATCTGATCCTGACAAAATTCGTTTTTGGCGGAACACATGGCTCTTCCAATTTCTCATCTGCTTCTTTCTTTTGGAGAGGCTCTATCTCATGGACAACCATCCGTAGATTATTATCCTTCATTTTTCGCTGGGAGCTCATGGTCGAATTGGACTGAAATTCTCCAAGGGAGGACAAGTTTGTGGCTGTTGTACACGTCGAAATACAAGGGCTTTCTGTATTTTGCAGTCTTCGATGATTGCCATTCTGTAAACAAAACGAGCGATAAGTTCTGACCTCAGGTCAAAGACGAACAAATATTTGAGTTCATAGGCCCATGAATCTATTCGTTGTCTATAGTATACAATAAAAAATGTAGCATTTTCAAGGAGTGTGAAATCGAACGATTTGTTATATGATAATGACTGATGTAATAATATACTCTCTGATTCTAAAAATCTGAAAATAAAGACATCCGCAAAGAGCTAGAGGATAAGGATTGAAATGAATTCAGAGAAACAACATCCTGAAATTGTACCGCCTCATCCATATCTTTGGTTAAAATGCGGTGACAATGTTTTTTCTGTAGTCGAAACATATGCTGGAAGAGGAAATGCGAGACCAACAATTCACAGTAAATTCGAACCACTTTCACGGCACTGAGATGCTTCCATAGGGTTACAACCACACAATTTTACGAAAAATTGTTTGGGCTTTGGGTTAATAGATGTTAGGTTAACCTTACTGAGGAATGTCACCTACTGAGAACATATCCCTTAATGAGAAAGCACTGTATGGAAATTTCCAAGCATATGTAGATACATCACTATCGAGGTGCTAATCAGGTATACTTATAAACAGAATGTGTAAATGCTGCTAGGCGAGATGATCGCATCGCAAGTACTTTGGGCTATATTCAATACTGTGCCAGAGAGCAGGTCACTTTGCGATTTTTTGGAAACTGCTTGCATTTCCTTAGACAAACTGGTCTGATAAAACGTACCTATATCATCGGTGCCATACCATGAAGGCTACCAAGGAATGTCCCGAACCTATACCCACGGACTAGAGCTTTGCTTAGGCATTACCCTCGGGAAAAATTTCTGGTTATAATAAGAACACCAACTGAACGAGTTACCCTTCTATATGGGTTCCGGGAAAATAAAGTAGCAGACAAACTCGCTAGGAAAGGAGATCAAACACCCTTTGTAGGGCCAGAATCATTCTGCGGATCAGCAGGAGTACTGTGTCAGTTGCAAAGAGATCAGACACAATAGATCTTTCAGGTCGTAATATATTCATGCATCCCTTATCTATTAAATGCAATAGGCACAATCAGACAATCTAATGCCCTAACATTGTGACCATAGCCATGATAATGTTTTTGTGCTTACTGAGCTGAAACGAGAAAGGTCGTTAGAATGATATAGTAGGTCGGCTCAATGAACGCAAGAAGAAAAACTGCATGTTATTCCAAGAAACAGATATACTGCTTATCAAATATATGTGGCCCTTTATGTGAATGCTTAGCCAGGCTGCAATTTCCTCACTCGCTGAAGAAAAACCACGATTTGCCATGAATTATGATGGAGGAATATGTTAGATATATTATCTGAAAGTATATATAAGTACCTACGTCATAATATAACACTAGAGTCGATCATGCTTGATGTTGATGGCCACTATAAGAGGCGAAATCGAAAAGTAGGAGAAATCATGAATGCATCCATATTTTTTATTCTGCTAGGCAGGCAAGATCATATAAAAAATGTGAGTTTTTGACTTTTGTATGACTAAACCGAATTAAAATATTATGAGTTGTCATTATGCCCTTTTCCCGTTAGGTATATCTCACGTCCCGAGAGAAGTGCCCTTCTGCTTCCCACAGGTTGAAAACACTGGTACAGTATGTATCCCATTTCATTCATCACGCAGTTTCGGAAACACCCTGTATATACTCTAGCAAAAGTTCAATCTTCTTCAGAGAACATCATGTCAGCGTTGAAAGATATTGAGTATTTGAACAAACGATCGAATTAAATCGGTTATTGACATGTGCGACGCATTTTCCATCATGCTTCTCTGAATGAGAGATGTTTATTATAGTTGAGAAGTGATCTGGACGATGCCCCTCTTTATTTCTTCATATCGGTATACTTTGGAATTAGTACAGTTGAACAGTTATTCTACTTTATTCCAGATTTTTTCGGATTTCCTCTCCTCGTTTCTATAAAATGAAAATATGAGTATTATTTACATATACAGTGTGTCTCACTTCTAATGGAAACACCGCTGTATCTAACGAAATCGTTGGGTAAGTCATCAATTTCCGGAAAATGATGTTAGGTTTAACATCACTTTGGATTGGGAATCAGGACGCCCAATTCACTAACTATTTATATTTTTCCTGAATCAATGACGAATTGAAATTACCATCAGTAATGTACACTGCTCATTAGCAGCCATGGAACCCTTCAATTGTCCAGTAAATCATATTAGCAGACAAGATTTGTTGGAAATCACATCGGATTCGAGAACAGAAAACAAAACATCTAATTCACTAAATACTCATATTTCTTCTGGAAAATTTCCAGTTCAGAGATAATAAATTTTTTCTCACTTTTCATGACCAAGTAGGATCATTTTCAATGATACACTGCTCGCCAGCAGCCACAGAACCACCAACATTCCAGAAGAAATAAATTATTAAATGGGAAAATTCACTGAATGGTTGTTCTGAAATTGATAATCATAAAGTAAGTTCTCATCAGGGATAATGAAATAACAATCTGAACTAGTACAACGAATAGATTATCAAGAGGGATCCAATGGATCAGAAATCATAACGAGTGTAATTAAAATTAATTATGAATGGATTTACTCGTTAATAATATGAACAAAATCGTTGACAATAATAATGCGATGGAATATGGGAAGTTAGTGAATTGGACGTCCTGTTTTCGAATTCAAAGTGACTTTCAACCTCTCTTGTCTCTTAGTATAATTTTCCGGACATGTGTGTATATCTCTCGCTGCAGCAAATTTCAGGATCCTAACCCAACGATAACGTAAGATACGGGGGTGTTTCCATGAAAAGTGAGACAAAAATGAATTTTTCAGAACAAAAAATTTCTCAGGAAAAAAATGAATAGTAAGTGAACTGGGCATACTGATTCCGAACTCAAAGTGATTTACAACCAATTTTGACTCCTAATATCATTTTCCGGAAATTGGGGTGGTTCCATAGCTGTTGGCGAGCAGTGTATATCACTGAAGATGAACCCACTTGATCGAAGAGCACATTTTTGGTATACCTCTCGCTCCAGAAAATTTCAGGATCCTAACCCAACGATTGAGTAAGATACGGGGGTGTTAGCATTAGAAGTGAGACACACTGTATTTACGTGTAGTGAGAACAAATCAGATGATTTGCTCGAAAATGTCACTGCGTTTGAAAATTTTCCTACCAGAGGGCCTAAAAGAAAAATTCTTCCGATTGTCAGTGACAGTTTGTTTTGAGAAAGGTTTGGAGAAGAGAAATAAATGTATATAGAAAAACTATGAAGTTTTCACCTCTCTTTGGATGTTTCTGGAATTGTACTGATCCCGTTTTCAACATATAGGTATTGATAAAATGCTCATATTTTCATTTTAACGAGGAGAAAAAACCCCAAAAAATCAGGAATAATGAATATATCATTTCCTCGATTAGTATACTTAGTTATTCTACAAAACAAAACAGTTTGTATAATGTTGCTAAAGATATTGTTTCACATGAGAACGTAAATACATACATTGGTAGATTGGCATTTCGTCAGCAAAAGATTCCTGTTCTATCTGTTGACTTCATGCCAAAAACATCAACACTGGTTAAAGTGGTTGGTTGCTAGTTGTAATATTCCCATTTCACTCCGTTGTAATTGTATTTGATTGGAATAAGCATTGTCATCTGATGAAGATATTTGTCACATGAGTGTAGCATACGCCAAGTCGACATTTGGCCAAGACCTAGACTTAATCTCACTGGAGTTTTGGCACAGTTCGATTTATAACAAAATCATTTGAAAGGGTTACTAAGGTCAACATTTGGCCACGACATGATTTCACTGGTGCTTAGGCATACTGTGAAAAATGCAGATTTGGAAAAATCTTGTTGCGTCAAATATCTCGGGAACCGTCGAAATTTCATTGGACATAATATACAGGGTGACTGATAAGGAACTCACCAAGCCATAGCACTGGTATTCGTTATCCGATTTTGAAGTATCAACAGTATTACTTTTTTCAAAAGAAGTAGGTGATAGTCACAATTTCTTTTGATGGACAAAATTTCTCTGAATTCAATGATGACTAACAAGTTGACTATCGAGCAAAATTAATTGAGGAAATACATGAGGAAAAACATAGGTAAGAAATCGTTCTCTTATGGAATATGCAAGACGTACAGAGATTTTGTTGCCTGGTCCTGTGAAAATAATTCCTGTAAAAACGGGCCATGTTATAAAAGATGTCCTTCAATTCCATCGAAATCTCTTGTGAGCTAATTCCCAAGATGAATGTGAAAAAAAAGTTCATGCCAACAAGGTTTTAATTCAACATTTTTCGAAGAAGAATGAGAAGAAATTATCAAGAAATGATTTAAAATAGGAAGATTGAGAATTCAAATCTCTTTAACCTTTCAAAATAATTTTTGATACGTCATAATATTTCAACAAGTTTTACGTTCAACTGATATTCTTAGATCATCGGCGTGATGAAGCATACAATTCTTATTGATTATTTCAAATTTTATCTCTATCCAGACTATAGTGTCTCATATTATTATATACAGGGTGATTAATTAAGAATGGGCAATCTCTGCAGATAGTAAACACGAAAATATCGGGCTACCCCTGTAACTTCTGCATTCGTGAACGGATTTTTCTGAAATTTGATACAGTTATATGAGCAACCATTCCGGATTTGATCACATTACAATCCAATATGGTGGACTTCTGGTTTTTCTGGAAATTTCAGCAACTTTGTTTTTTCAAATCAAACACCCTGTATATTTTTAAATATTCATGTTCAACAGGTCAAAAAAAGTGCAATGTTGAGTTGAGTACTGTCTGTAGGTCAATCGAGGAGGTGGTACATTCATTTTACTTGACTTTTTGGGATTTTTTCTCCTCGTTTCTATAAAATATAAATATGCGTATCATTTCAATATATTTGTAGTGGGACAAATCAGATGATTTGCCCCAAAATGTCACTGCGTTTAACAAATT